ATTAATAAAAAATAAATAAATAAAAAAGATAAATACTTAACTATACGTAGTAAAATAAAACATAGAAATTAACGTCATAACCAAACATTAAGGGGCACAAAATGTTGCAAAACATTGATTACCACTAAAAATATACAAAAGATAGAATTTCTGCTTGTTTTGTTATTGGCGGTAGGGCTGTGGGCTGTTAATGAATATTTCTGATACTGAGTTTTACGGTGCCATATTTATATTCTTGCAGAGGTTATTTTGGTCAAAAGTTTGCAACGCAGTGAAGGAGACATCTCCGACCCTATAAAGTATATATATTCTTGATCAAGATCGCCTTCTGAACGATCGGAAATGGTATTTGGTAAAAATACTAACTTTGGTAATTTTTAAGATAGAATCTTGGGACTTTTTTTCAACTTTGTATTGTAATAAACTGGTTATATTATTTATTATCATAAGGATTGACCAACAATATCCGATGTTTGCAATATATATATCGGGTTTTAACTGCCAGGGTGTATCAACTTTGGCTCCGCCCGAAGTTAACTTTCCTTTCTTATTTTTATATTTATATTTTCTTAGCTTTAAAACTGAGAGACTAGTTTTCGTAGAAACAGACACACAGACAAACGGCCATGCCATTAACTCAGAAAGTGATTCTGATCTAGAATATATATACTTTATGGGAGATGACTCCCTTCACTGCGTTGAACACTTGTGAGGGTATTAAAAATAAGACTTCGAATTTACATCGCATTCATAAGCTGTAAACCAAACTAAAAAATGTTGCAGTAAGCCTTATAATTAACATTACGACTACGCCCAAAACAAGTTTAGCTCAGAAAAAATTGTCATTCATAATTCTTTTTACTTACAGTCACAATATTAAATGTCATTATTTCAAAACATATATACCTAAATTCTCCGTGCAAAGCGTAAAGCATATACTTTTTTTTCATTTTGAATCGACTGCTACCGAAAAAAATAATTTAGATTATTAAAAAGACACAATACTAAGTATAGCTTTCAAACATTTTCTAAATTTTTTGATGTGTTGGAATTTTTGGTTAAATTTTGGATCAAGATTGGTTCGCATAAAAAGGGAGCGATTGCAGTTGAAATCAAAATAAATCTGGACATAAGAAATTTGGCGGTTTGTAAACGTATATTTTTCAGTTCCACTAAAATATTTGATTTCAATTTCATTTAAAACAAGAAAGGAAAGCAAACTTCGGGCGGAACCGAAGTTGATATACCCTTGCAGTTAAACTCAGATATAGCATATAGTCGGCCGATCCTTATGAGAATATAGTAAAACCAATTAATTACAATAAAACATCTAAAAAAAAGTCCCAAGCTTCTGTCTTCAAAAATACCAAAGTAGGTATTTCTACCAAATATGAAATATTATATGAAGATTTTCCTGCAACATAAGGTTTTGTTACTGTACCACAGTCAAATAGTTGGTAAATTATTCATTAATTTTCGCACGCAAAACAGCAATCTATCAACCAACAACAATTTTTTTGTGTTGGCAGTTGCGTAACAGCATTTCAGATCAGTTTTCTTTGGATTTTGGTTGGGGAAATCGTTGTTAATATTTGTTTATATTTTCCAACTGTTTCATACGTGTAGAATCAGTGGGAAGAGCCCAAATTCCAAAATTTAGTAATTTAGTTTCATAAAGCCAGTCTTACTGAAGAAGCGAACTTTATGAGTTTTGGTCGATACTTAAGGACTACAGCCAATACTTGGTTTCGATTGAAGTCTTAAGATTGCGATGATATGGATCCTAAGGGTTAGAGAGTAGCAACGTTCTCGAAAGCGTAATTCCATCTAGACCTAATACATTTATTTCGTATATAATTTGACCGAGTGACATGTCAATCAGATGGTCAATTATTAACATTAGACAACTTAACTTATGGGATATTAAAGTTAGTCAGAGCTAACAGCTGTTTACAATCGGACCGAAGATTAAGAACTGATTGAATAGCGGATAATTGATGCCAATATGAACAGTTAATATATAAAGATTTACCGGACAAAATGATTTTAATGCAAATAAATTCTATATTACCATATTGTACCATTTAATGTGGTTCCGTAAGAAGAGGTGGAAGGTTGTTCAGTAGTTCTAACATGTGGGAGTTTTACTCCCACGGGTTTGACAACTTCTTTTCTTTCGGTACTTGGCTGATATTCACGGCCGCCGAATTTCGGTTGGAAGTTGCGGTCGTGCAAATAATATGCTGCGACTGTTGCTTGCTTATGCTGTGCCGAGTATTGAAATTCGGTAGAAGTAGCTTTCGCTGCTGGCTGCTTTTCATTTTTATAATTAATGCTTTCGATTACCAGCATAAGTCCAAGAAGTAGAAACGGACCAATTTTATGTTTGCGTTTTTTAGTTGGGTTGTAATACGTCGCCCAAAAGAGTTACAAAAAATTAGCTATAATGCCAAGTTTAGTGAAACAGTTTGAAATCCAAAAATAAAAAATGTTCCGATCAGAGAGAAGTACAATTTTTAATAATTGAAGTGTTTTGTTCCTAACTGACAGAATTGAAGGCTCTGGTTGTAACATATACTGTTGTCGCAACGAAAAACTGAAGCCATAGGTACTTTAAATTCCAAATGGGACCAAACTATATAGTCTTGGCATTACTTAATGCTACTTACTTAAAATAGAGTACTTAACATAGAGTTCCAGTTCTAATCAAAAAGAAAACCGAATTATTAAAATCTACAACTTACCTATTAACAAACATGTTATAGCGTATTGGAAGGTAAAACAATACTCCTGCGAGTTATACGCATTAAGTATGGTTTGTTATGCAGTACCGTCAACTGAGGTTGAATATTTTGGCCATTAATTTAAGTGTAGCTATTTTTCAAATATTATAAATTTATTCTTAACAGGTGTTGAGAATTTAGTTTAAGACTTTAGTTTTTTAGTTTAAGACTAGTTCTTACTGATAACCGGAATCGATTACGCCAGGACGTTCTGAAGAACATCTTGCTGGTCAAAGTCCGAAAAACACGACAACAATTCCAAAATGGCAGTTTCTTGTGTAAAAGTTTTATCCTTTTTGTTTTAATTAATTAAAGATCTATTTTTTTTTCAAAAGGTTCAAAATTTAACTATTAAAATTTTAAAACGTCGAAAATTTTAAAATTTGCCTAAAATTACGCGTTAAGGAGTTTTTAAGAGCAAACAAGAAAGGAAAGCTAACTTCGGGCGGAGGCGAAGTTGATATACCCTTGCAGTTAAAACCGGATATATATCGCAAACCGATTCTTGTGATTAAATCATAATAAAACCAATAAACTTCAATAAAAAATCTAAAAAAAAGTCCCAAACTTCTATCTTCAAAAGTACCAAAGTTGGTATTTCTACCAAAAACCATTTCCGATCGTTCAGTTCTATGGCAGCTATAGGATATAGTCGGCCGATTTGGAAATTTGGCAGGTTGGATTAGCTGACCAAAAATAGAATATGTACTAAGTTTCAGCTTTCTATTTTCAAAAACACGAAAGTTGGGTCATTTCCGATCGTTCAGTTATATGGCAGCTATAAGATATAGTCGGCCGATCCTTATGCAATTTGGCATGTCGTAATGTTTTGCCAAAGATAGCTCGCGTGTCAAATTTGAACTCTCTAACTCTAAAAACACCAAAGTTATACCATTTCCGATCAATCAGTTATATGGCAGCTATAAGATATAGTCAGCCGATCCGGGCCGTTCCGACTTATATACTGCGTGCAAAGGAAAGAAGGGTGTGTGCAAAGTTTCAAGACGATAGCTTCAAAACTGAGAGACTAGTTCGCGTAGAAACGGACAGACAGACAGACAGACAGACGGACAGACGGACATGCTCATATCAACTCAGGAGGTGATCCTGATCAAGAATATATATACTTTATAGGGTCGGAGATGTCTCCTTTACTGCGTTGCACACTTTTGGACAAAATTATAATACCCTCTGCAAGGGTATAAAAATTCCTACTAGGTCTCTTCAAAAGTTCCAAATAATTATTAAGTAACTTCAAACAATTTGCAACATAAACTTTTGTAGGTAAAAACAAGAAAGCAAAGCTAACTTCGGGCGGAGCCGAAGTTTATATACCCTTGCAGCTAAAACCGAATATATAGCGCAAACATCGGATATAGTTGGCCGATCCTTATGATTACATCATAATAAAACCAATTAATTACAATAAAAAATCTAAAAAAAAGTCCCAAGCTTCTATCTTCAAAAATACGAAATTTAATATTTCTACCAAATACCATTTCCGATCGTTCAGTTATATGTCAGCTATAAGATATAGTCAACCGATCCTAATGAAACTTTGTAGGTCGGATTAACTGACCAAAAATAGAATGTGTACCAAGTGCCAGCTTTCTATCATCAAAAACACGAAAGTTGGGTCATTTCCGATCGTTCAGTTATATGGCAGCTATAGGATATAGTCGGCCGATCCTTATGAAATTTGGCATGTCATATTATTTTGCCAAAAATAGCTCTCATATCAAATTTGAACTCTCTAACTCTAAAAACACCGAAGTTATACCATTTCCGATCAATCAGTTATATGGCAGCTATAGGATATAGTCGGCCGATCCGGGCCGTTCCGACTTATATACTGCGTGCAAAGGAAAGAAGGGTGTGTGCAAAGTTTCAAGACGATAGCTTTAAAACTGAGAGACTAGTTCGCGTAGAAACAGACAGACAGACAGACGGACAGACGGACAGACGGACAGACGGACATGCTCATATCAACTCAGGAGGTGATCCTGATCAAGAATATATATACTTTATAGGGTCGGAGATGTCTCCTTCACTGCGTTGCACACTTTTGGACAAAATTATAATACCCTCTGCAAGGGTATAAAAATTTAATTAGAAAACTGCTGCCGCGTTTTCGCCCTTTTTTGTATTCGTGTTCCAAAAAAATGAGACAATTTTTTATCTCGCTAATTTCTGTATAAATATATATTACATTTGCAGAAAATCCAGAAAACACAACAGGACCCTGCATTTCAAAAAAACGTAGTAAAAAGTTCCGGTGGTGCATGAATTCCAAAAGGCGATCAACAAGTCAAAGGTAAGTTATATATGTAGATTAAGCGAATGGTTCCTTAATCAATATAGAAAATTTAAAAAAATTATGTGTTTTATTTATTGTTTTGATATTTTTCGTGTAGCTTTGATGTTTTGTACTATGTACATTGTTTTGCTGAGTATACAGAGGCTGAGTATTGATACATCATCCTCTAAGGCGAAGATGTTAAGCACATTGGAAGGTGGTAAGCAATGGGGTGCCCACCTATTGTTGGCCTACCAGGGACTTAGTCGAGTTTGTGTGTGTCTTTCATAATTGTATTGTATAGCTGTATTCCCTTTTGTCTGTGATTTCTTAGTGTGCTTAACTATCGAGTTAATTTGTTCCGTAGAATATATCGACTCTAATTAAATATAATTAATTTTGGGAGATGTGTTTTTGAAAGAAGAATAAGATCAATGTTATTGCGGCCTATGGATTGTTCGGATTTAAGTTGGGAAACGCCAATAACTGGGAAAATCGAGTCGAAAAACTTAAGTTTGTGTTGGGAAATAGCATTTCACGTTTTTTGGTCTGCTGGGATTCCAAAATTTGTTTCAAAAGATTCTGGTTAGTGCTTGTTGCTGCGTATCTTTAGTGTGACAATGTTTTTGTTTATATATTTTTACGAGGTTTATTTTTCATTATTTTTATATAGTATGTTCACTTTTTTTTATCTTATTGTCGTAAAGCGATCGAGCCCATTTTCGCTGTTTCACGACCCGACAAAAAAAACCTCATAACTTCGTTAATTTGTCAAGAATATATTAAACACCAAAACAAAATCATTGAAAAGCAGAATTGGAATTTTAAAATATTTTAAGTGATCGGCATAAAATTATCATATCTAATTAAATAAATAATATAACTATAAATATATAAATATAAAATAATATAACTGATTGATCGGAAATAGTATAACTTTGGTGTTTTTAGAGTAAGAGAGTTCAAGTGCAGGTAAAGATAGCTTTATCCTATAGCTTCCATATAAATGAACAATCGGGATCGGTCGATTATATCTTATAGCTGCCATATGACTGAACGATCGAAAATGACTCAACTTTCGTGTTTTCGAAGATAGATAGTTGGAACTTCGTACAGATTTCATTTTCAGTCAGTTAATCCGACTTACCAAATTTCGTAAGGCCGACTATGTCTAATAGCTGCCATATAACTGAACGATCGAAAATGTCCCAACTATCGCGATTTATATAGTTATATTATGATATTCTTATAAGGGTTAACCAACTGTATATATATCCGATGTTTTTGATATATATTCGGTTTTACCTGCAAGGGTATATAAACTTCGGCTCCGCCCGAAGTGGGAGAAAATTGGATAGTTGGTGCCATGTATATCGGGCAGCCGCGTCGGCGTGTTCGTTTCCAAGAATTCTCTGGTGACTAGGAGCTCAAACAATAATTATCTTTGCTTTTTATTTAGCGATAATATTCTGTATTTCGTATATTGTTGGGTCTGAGTGCCTGTGGTTCTCCAGAGCAGAAATAGTGGAAAGGCTGTCCGAGCAAATGGCAAATTTTCTTTTAAAGTTGGAAGCGGCGTAAAAGTTCGGAAGGGTCCCGCCGAATAAAATAACGTTGTCACTGTTCACAACAGCGAATGATGACGACAGTGTTGTTTTAGAGCCGTCGGAATAAAGACAGTTCCTATGGCCCAATTGGCTTCTCAAAAGTGGGAATTGTGTTTGGAAGACTTCTTTTGGCGTGTCGCTTTTGGTGTTGTGATGTAGCTGCTTGTTTATTTTAGAAGATATGTGTTTCCAAGGTGGAAGGAAACGGGTGTTTGTGTTTTATTTGGGCGGTGGTAGGCCCAGCAGTACCGAGAAGTTGGAGCATCTATGAAGGGTTGGGAGAATTCTGGGCGCGCGTTTTTTTTTCTAAAAGTAGATATTAAATTTTTTTACTAGCCATCGGTTAGGGCTAGTAAGCAGCCTAGGCATAAGATTCTGTGTCTACATTTCTAAACGATCGAGAATGCTTGGTAATCCTGTTTCAGCCAGAACACACTGTATTGGTGATGTTAGGAATGCATTGATTGAACGACGAGCTAATGAGTGATATGGAGGTTGGATTTTCTTCAAGTTGGATGTAGTGCACCAACCGTAAATAGGGAGGCCGTAATCAATTTTGGAAAGGATGAGGGTACGGGTTAAGTTGGTTAGAGTATTAGAGTGGATATGTGAGAATTTGGAGCTAAGAAATTTGATTATGTTAGCTGGGGTTTCAAGTGGTTTCCTTAACAAGATACAGTGAGCCTTAAAGCTAAACCTAGAGTCTAAAGTGATCCCAAGTATTTTTAAGTTTTGAACAGGATGGATAGATTTGTTATTGAATTCCAAAATTGGGAAGCAACAGTGGATACGGGTTAAGTTGGTTAGAGTATTAGAGTGGATATGTGAGAATTTGGAGCTAAGAAATTTGATTATGTTAGCTGGGGTTTCAAGTGGTTACCTTTACAAGATACAGTGAGCCTTAAGGGGGGAAATACAATTAAAAATTTATTTTTTTCGAAAATTTTTTTTTTGTCTTAATGTACTCTAAATATGTCTGGGAATAAGCCTTTAAAAGCATAAAGCTGTTCGGTACTTATTTTCAAAGTAATACGCAATTTAGTGAGTGCGTGTCAGTGGTAAACTTTAGTGAGTGGTAAACTTTAAACGCTTCTACTGAAAAGTCGTGTTTTCAAAGTCGCCGTGCAATGTACAGGTCAGAGATTTCATTTCAATCTAATGCGGTTTTTTGCTTTATGTTTGAAATGAAATTCTCCACAACATGAATTAAAGGATTTTTCATATTTATTTGTTATAACATGTTTTTTTGACAAACAAAGTCGAAAAAAGTGTGTTTTTTTTAAATATTTTTTTCAATTTCAAATTTTTTCATGGAAAAACCATTTTTTTACATATGAAATAATTCATGTTGTGCGCTGTACCTCTAAGTTTAATGCCCAGTTGCTGTTTTTTGTTTTAGACGTGATCCTGGGCCTGGAGACTGCACGGCGCAAAGTTTATCCCCCAAAACACGACTCCATATTATTGATCATAAATGGGCTTAATTACAATATTTTTCGAAAAACTTGACTGATTTTCATTGCCCAATAATTTCCTAATAACATGCAAAAAGAATCGCTAAGATTCATTCAATTCCCTACTTGCAATTCACTCCCAAAGATAGGCCCCATTTTAGGCCTTTTAATTGTATTTCCCCCCTTAAAACTAAACCTAGAGTCTAAAGTGATCCCAAGTATTTTTAAGTTTTGAACAGGATGGATAGATTCCAAAATTGGGAAGCAACAGTGGATTTTACGGCATATGTGCAAATTGTTGCATTTTTCAATGGAAAGCGAAGCATCAGAGTGTACACCTCAGGCTTCTAAATCTTGAAGGACTTAAATGAATGTGTTTTTTACATTATTTAGATTTTTTGCTCTGGTATAGATTATGGTGTCGTCTCCATATAAAGATATTTTTATTTCCTCTAGGTAGAATGCTGTGGATTTCGTAGAAGGCAATGATGAAGAGGACAACAGATAGAGTTGACCCTTGAGGGATTCCGTTTGACAAGTTGGCAGCTGCGGAGGTTTTGTCGTTGACTCTGTCTTTAAAGGTCCTCTATGTCATAAAGGCTTTCGCAAGATTGTAAAGCCTTGGACCAATGGAAGGCCTTTTCGAAATCCGTTGCCAGGATGGAGACATGGTTCCTTAAAAAATGGCATTCGACACGAAGTGTTGAATTTTAAGGAGAGAGTCCATGGTACTCTGGTGGCTTTTGAATGAAACCTGGTTGCCGTTTATCAGGTTATGTCGGTTGATGTACCACATAATAGAGCTGGAAAATAATCGATGTTTGGGACCATCGATGTTTTCGATGTTGTTAAAGTAAAAATCGATGAAGCATCGATGTTTTCAAATAAAAAATAAAAATAACAATTAGGAATTTTTTTATTTGAGATCAGATGTTCTTATTTAGACATTGAGGTTCTTATTTAAAAACATGAATTGGTCAACAATGTTTGATTTTAAGGCGCATCTCCTGTCAGATATAATCTGTCCAGCTTTGCTGAATGCTCGCTCTGAAGCGCAGGAAGATGCTGGCACGCATAATACTTTTTTAGACAGCATTGCTAAGGCTGTTGTGTCGTTTGTATGCGCCTAAAAAAAAGGAGAAAATATTTATGGTTATACGAAAACAGCATATTACATTGATTATTACCTTCCAATACTCAAGTGGATTCACTTCTTCTCCTTCATGTGCTACTTCGAAATACTGGCGCAAAATTATTAAGGCGTCAGCCTTGTTTGATTGTACTTTTTCTCCCAGCTTGTTGGTCATAAAGGAAAAGCGTTTTGGTTGCGGTGGTGTTGGCTGTGGCTGTGGACGCTGTGCAGTTTTGGATAAGAAAGTGGATACTTCCAGTTCTACGGCTTTTGCTGCCTGCTCAGCATTTAATGGCTGCAATAATCCATCCTTTTTGAACCGTGGGTCCAAAATGGTTGCAAGCCTTGTCGTTGTTCGCGTCTCGTACTGTGAAAATCTTTCTGGCATTCGGACTTTTAGATACTCGACGATTTGTTTAGCCTCTGACGATATGAAACAGTTCATTTCCGATATTTTTTGGCGGAGCTCGCAGCGTATGGGAATAATCAAAGATATTGTCACTTTTGTGTCTGCAGAAATGGATACGGTTGCATCCTGAAATGGATTGAGTATCTCAATCAGTTCCCTTATTATTTTTATTTCATCTGCGGTATACGGCGGTAGCGATTTTGGGGTTTTTAATAAAACCTTCGAAATACTTTAAGTTGTCGCCAAAATACGCTGCATCATAAAAAGAGCACTGTTCCAAGGCGTTGGCACCTCCTGGATCAAACCGTACGGCTTACTAACGCCTTGCTCTTCTTTAAATTTCGCATAAGCTACATTGCTAGATTTAAAAAATGCGACTGTGCGCTTGCACTTTAAAACAATGTTTAAAATGCATG